ATGGTTCATGGGGACTAAAAACTTACTGGTTTGTTTGTTTGTTTGTAAATCAAGCTGAAATTCTCTCACCTAACCATGTGGAGCTGGGGCTTTTAGAAAAAACATCAAATATCATGAGACTCAAAATAAAATAATCAGGTTTGGCAACACTGATTTTTATAGACTTTTACCAGGACTAAATTTATATATTTATGTACCATACTGGTAAGTGAACTTCATATGTGTTCCAAACAAACTGGCTTCTGGGGCTTTGAGCAGTAAAACTTCTCTTCCACTTCTTCGTCACCAAATGCTGTTAATCAACCAAATTTAACAAAAATGTATTTTTAAACTAAATAATAGATAACATTTCTCTGTCAGATCTGCAGAGGAGATTAGACTTTTAAGTTCTGCCATTTCCATTAACTTTCATTTGCAGATTGGTCAAATGAGGGGAAGGATGTACTTTCACAGCAGGACCAATACATTTTCCATGATGAAAAATCCTGGTGGGTTGATAGTCTAGTATCTGATCAGTCTAATCTTCTAATAATCTTTTGAACAAGGTAGCGTTGGACAGGAATTAGCAAGATAACAGAAGGCCATTTCCATCTGATAATAAGCAATAGCTGTCTGACAATGTGAATTCACTTGCTACTGAGCATTAACAATAATTTCAATGAATTAAATTTCCATATATGTATATGTCAGATGTGTTCCTGGAGGCAGACCTCTCTACTCTTTTTTTTTTTTTTTTTTTAACTACTATACTTAGTGATCATTATGTGATTAACTTCTGTGATGAACTTAAAACAAGCTCATTAGTAGGAGCTAGCCCCAGGGCTGCCAGCAGGATTTCTAGTTAGTGTAATGACTTAAGGACTTCAGAAACTAACAGAGATCAGGCATGTTTAGAAAAAGAGACATATAGTTTTCAAAATTGATGAGAGCTACAATGCTCTTATTCACTGATAGTTTTAGTATTTTAAGATGTCTAATGCTAATGAAATTCATATTGTCATACCCAAAAAGAGGAAAAAATGGGTCATTATGATTTTGTTGTAAAGGATAAATAATTTCTGAAGTTATGGCTAGTATGGAAGGCACTAGTGAAAAACATTTGGGTGCAATCTGTTCTACCTCTTAAACAGCATTGAATCTAGAGCAAATAGAGGCTTGGGAAGGTGAGGGAAAAGGATTGTTGTTTGGCAAAAGGTATGAAAGAAATGAGTGATGTTTTAAATACAGAAAAACTTTTGCAAACAGGTATTCTTTGACTGTACCATTAAGTAAGTTGCAGTAGTTCACTAGATTTCACATTCCGGTAAGAAGTTCTGAAAAGATGATCTATACAGCCCTAAAAGTAGATAATTGTAATTTACTGGTAGCAGCAATAAACATTGATTATGAAATCTAGTATGATAATCGCTTACTTGGATAGCAAGTATTAAATACCTTAGGGAATGTGTCAGTGTTTTGCTTCAGTTTCTCTCATTCCCTTTTTGATTACTTTCCTCCTTTATATATGTGTTTGGGGTAAAGAGGTAGGCGAGTATTTGAATTAAGTAAGATTAAACAGTTTATCATCACTGTTAGACATGGGATATTTAAGGATGAAGTATGGTCTAGTGCAGTGGTTTTCAACCTGGGTTATGGAATGTCACTCAGGCACTGGGTCTCATTGCTGCAGGGTGATCAGTGAGTGTGTTAAGGCAGGCTTCCTGTCCATCATGGCATGGCAGACTGCATTGTGCTCAGTAGTCAGCAGCAGGCTTGGCTCCTGTGGGGGGAAGAATACATAGGGATCTGCTCACTGCCCCTGCCCTTAGCACTGGCTCTGCACTCCCATTGGCTGGGACCTGCTGCTGGCTGTTTTCCATGGCACCGCATGGCCTGCGGTGCCAAGATAGGGAAGGAATTCTGCCTTAGCACCCCTACTGCATTGCTGACTGGGAGCCGCTTGAGGTAAGCCCCACGTGCCCCCGCTCTGAACCACTTCCCAAAGCCTGAGTCCCCTCCTACAGCCCAAAGCTCAGCCCCCATCCTCAGCCCCACCCCAGAGCCCACACTTTAGTCAAATTATTTTGGGTCAAGGGCATCAACAATTTTCTTCAACTGTAACATGAGAAAAAAAGCTTGAAAACCAGTGATCTAGTGAGTAGAACAGCTGATTATATGTCAAGACTTTTTCATTGTTGCCAACTCTCATGATTTTTCATGAGTCTCACAATAACTGGTCTCTTTCAAAAAGCCTCAGCTCCAAGAGTTGTGGTGTTATGCAGGAATCTCAGTGAAGCTAATGCTTAAGTACAAATTCAGGATTTGTCTCATTATCCATTATATAGTGTAAGTTATGTGTACAATTCCACCTTCATGATGATGATACATCTGCATAAATCTAATTTAAACTGAGCAAAGCAAGGATATTTAGGGTTGAGGCTTCCATGCCATCTTTTACTCACTTTTACTATTGCAGTAAACTTGATATGTAAGATCATCCTAGGTTTAAAGAGTGAATTGAGGACATAGTGGCAGTGTTAACTCTAAAACAGTGGGGTGGGCAATAATTTTTTTATAGGGGGCCACTCCAAGAATTTGGTAAGTGGTGAAAGGCCACATTCTTCCATGATATTAATGGGGTGGAGGGTGGGTGCAGAAGGCAGCTTGGGGTAAGGAATTGGGATACAGGGAGGGAGTTTGGGTGAAGGAAGTGAATGTGATCTGGGGCAAGGGTCTTGGGTCAAGGGGGTGTAGGGTCTGAGAGGGTGCAGAAGCAGATTCTGACCTGAAAGAGGGGTGTAGGGATTGGTGCAGGGCCTGGGAGGGGGTTGTAACTTGGGGTAGGGGTGCAGAAGGGAGTGCAGGGGTTTGGGTTGTGACCTGGGGCAAGGGATTTAGGTGCAGGAGCAGGAGTGCGAAGGGTTTGGGTTACACAGGATAGAGGTGCAGGAGGAAGAACAGAGGGTTGGAAAGAGGGAGGAGCTGGGGTGTCAAAGGCAGGCTCTGGCCAGGAGGCACTTTCCTCACTGTGGGATGAATGAGTGGAGGCAAAGAGACTTCCTGAAACCTGGCACACTCGACGCTCTCTAAATGAATGAACGCAGTGTAAGCTGGGGAGGGGAAGTATACTATCATAGCCATTCACAAGAGCAAAGACGAGAACTGTGGGCTGATGGTCAATGGGATTAGAGGATTTCTTAGTGGGAAAAGGAGAGCTCTACTTGTTTGAAGAGACAAGGAAGCACTTGAGTAACCATACTTGGAGGACTCTGTCCTGGGAAAGGCTTGGCAATCATGGTTAATTATCTGGACATGAGCTCCCAATATGATGATATGACCCAAAAAGGCTAATGTGATTTTGAATGTATAAAAGAACAGCAAGTAGAAGTAGGGATGTTATGTTACCTTATTTGGCTGAGGCACAACTGCTTCTGGAATACTGTGTCCAGTTCTGGTGATCTCTGATAACCTGGTATATACAAAGCCAGAAGTGGAATAATGTAGATGTTTCATTTTGCCATTTTATTCTTTTCACCTTTTGTAAATCTTCACCTGATAAAATGACAATAACTATTTGTTGTAAGAAAAAGAAACAAATATAAAGACAGTTTAAAAATTGATTGTTAAAGTTGTAGATAACAATAAATTACCTTATTTTGCATTTTAAAAGGCAAAGAAGTTCAGCTTCTTACTGAATTTGCACTTTCATTTTCCTTCTCTGGACTCTTACTGACTGAGGTTAATTACCACACCTACAGAGTAGTTTGGACTTTTACCAAGGCAAAGGTCTATGATAAAATCAAGAGTTGGCAGATCCTTTAACATACTCCATTTTTTTTCAAACATTGTTTGGGGACAAGTTATTTGGAATCATTCTGTACAAGATTGACAGTTGATTTGATTTTTTTAACATATATCTGAACAATAATTTTTCGGTGCTGTTTAGCTGTCAACTAATACAGGTATGCTAATTCATTTATCTTCATATAGCAGAAATCCCTGAGACAACACTTTGGGCCATAATCACTTTGCTATTTGCATTGGCTTCTGTTCAGCAACGCAGGAGGTTATGGGCACAAATTTGGTAGAAAATCTCTTGCGCTGGAAGTTGAAGGTACTGCAAAGAGCAACTGTAGCTCAAAAAGTGGTCAGCAAGGGAACTAGTTAATTACCATAATGGTTTCTACCTGCTGATTTTTTTTATTTTATTTTTTTTAACCTGGATAGGAACTATACCCCACTCCTGAACAAGAGACTTCATTGACTTAGAAAAGGTTAATTTACCCTTTCTGCACCTTCCTCAGTCCCTCTATCTTATCTGATATAAATATTTTCAGATCATTTATGGTATCGTAACCTCATAACGTCACACATTCAAAGTTTTAAAGAGGCCTGTAAATAGTTCCTGATTTTTTTTGAAATTGCTTTTAAGACCTGTATAAATTCAGGAGCTTTTTTTTAACTACTACTCACCCACACCAAATTCCTATTAACATTAGCAGGGTGAGACACACTGTTTAGAGCAATAATAGTTTTAGGTAGTGGGAAGAAGCCATTTGGATTTGTTTGGTTCCTTTTAGCTATTTAAAACATTTATTGCAATGATGTGATATATGCATTTTGTATCAATAAAAACATAAAACAATTCAGAGCACTTCGCTGTGTCAAAGATTTCATTAAGTAAAATGCAAAGTTCAGACGTCTCAGAATTGTCTACTGAGAAGAAGTTGCTCCAGATAAAGGGCCATATTGTCCCATTTTGCAGGAAACCTCTAAAGGTTTGTAAAATCAACTTAGCAGAGTAAATTGTGCTGTATGATGCCAAGGAACCAGGGAAAATTCATGTTTTGTACAGAAAATTAATCTGACTATAAAATACCTTGTTCTGAGCAAAAAGTACCTGCCTCTTGTGCAGTATGATAGAAGAATCCTGTGCGCTGTTACTGACTAGCTTAGTGTCAGTTCTTATACAAGGACCTGGGAATTACAGTAGTTAAGTGCAAAGAGTGATTTTTTTTCAGAGGCTTATGATAACTCAGCTAAATCTGGATGGACTTTCATGGGGATAGCACTGGGCACATCTGACTCCTGAGTGACTCTACAGCCAAGCTCCAAAGCATAGAGGTAATAGAGCTTCTCAGTGAAACAGTTACATTGTTTTTCCAAAGTAAGAAAATATATGTATTTTCCTCTAAATCTATTCTCAGAGGGTGCATCTACACTGTGGTGTTAGCTCGAAATAAGCTATTCATTATTTCAAGCTTACTTCGAGAGAGTCTACACAGTGCCAAATTTTGAAATAGACTGTTATTCTGACAAGTTCCTTAATCCTCACAGAATGAGGTTTACTGGGACGTCAGACGAACACACCCATTATTTTGATTACATTTTGAAATAACGGGTATGCTGTCAAGATGCGGAAAATGTTATTTCCGGATACCAGAAATATCCTGAAATAGCGCCGCAGTGTAGACAGCTAAACCACTTATGCTAAAACCTTTAAAAATTCAGCCTAAGACAGACAACCAACATGAAAAATTTCAGCCAAAATGGTTAAATATTGACAAATTTATAAGCAGATGAAAACAGAGTCTTATTATGCAGAGTGTTTAGACAATCTTAACTATAATCACTACAAGCTCTGCCTGCAATAGTATTTCTGAAATGTTATCTAGTGTTGGCCCTGCTGCAGTATACAGCCTGTTTATAGCAGTGTTTCCTTACTGAAGCTGAAAACAACAATACAAAGCATGTGTGTGCTGAGATCCTCTTGAATGATGTATGCTAAGGAAACTGTGCAAACTGATACACCTGATGAATTTGCATAGCTGTTTTATGTACTTAGCAGGCAAAGGAGACTTGAGGCATTTTGGATAAGTGAAAAGCTAGCTTTTTAAAAGGGTTGTTTGCCTGTTTGTATAAATTGGCCTGATTCTGGTGTAACAATCATTAATTACTGGAATCTCTCTAAGGTAAAATTCAAGTAGAGCTGCCTCCAGTTATACAATGTATGTGAGATAAGAAATCAGGTCCCTAAACTGTGATCTCTAATTTAGAAAGGTCATTGTTTGACTTTACTGTACTAATCCCTGACCCACCCATGTTTACTTTTAAAGGTGACTTGAGTAAAATGGAAAATGTTGATCATATTATACATCTCAAAATTGCTGTGCTGAAGAATGAATAACTGTTGTATGTGGATTTCAGTCACTCATGCAGCTTAAGAAATACGTTTTGTTGATAGAAACAACATTTGTCATGAATCATTTTAATTAATTTGGCTAATCTGCCTCCAATAGAAACCAATATATAATGCTTAGGAAGAAGGAGAAACACACGAACCCTCCCACTCTCAATGTATCTGTCTGCTTTCATAATGCTGTGCATGCAACAGATGGGAAAATTCCATGTTTGTTTAATTTGTATCTTAAAGCCTCATATTTGATCAGCTGTTATGGCATTGCTTTTTAATTGCACTGAATATCTTCTTATACTACATGAAAGACTATAAATACTTAGCTTGTCAGTTTGTACTTGCGTATTATTTGTGTCTCTTCATCTCCTTTTCTATCAAAATGCCCCCAATGTTTGTGTCTTACATACATATCTCAAACAGGGATATAAAAATGAATTAAAATTTAACTGTGTAACATATAAACAAATCCGTGGGTTACATGGTTAGGGCTGTCAGCTCCCAGCCCTTTGGGGTTGCCAAAGCTGCTGGTTCCTGGCTCTGCAAAGGTATTGCCAGGGCTGATAGCCCCATGAGGCTGCTAGCTGTAGACTTCCAGCCCCACACTTTGCTGGCCCAGCGGGGCTGCCAGGGGGCTGCTGGCTGCCATCAGCCCCATGCAGAGTTTAACTGTTAATTGTAACTGATAAGCATGAGCTTATTGGTTAACCAGTGAAATTCTTATATCCCTAATCTTAACACATATCTAGTATCCTTTACTGACTTTTTCGGTTGTCTTAATATTAGCGAATCAAATTTGGATGCACTCTTCCAAGGACAAGGATCCCATTGAATAATATTTTGTTACATATTTATTTTGTGTGTGGTTTACTCTCTTTTTAAATGTATCCAAGCATCCTACTTGTTCTTTAAAGTGCAGCTGCATTATGGACAGACACATTGTCCGAGGACTCCTACGTTCAGTGCTAACATCCCATTAGGCTACATGTTATGAAAGCTCAAGGAATCCTTTATTATGTGAATTATTTCCAATGTAAATGACATCTGCCAATATGATGCCCAGTTCCCCCAGTGTTAAAATCCATGTGAAATTTCTCCAGTCTTCAACAATTTATATTAACCGAGACTATTGTGTGTTATCAGCAGTGTTCATAAACTAACAGGCTACTTTTGTCCTTCATTTGTGTCAAGCTGAAAATTTCAACACTAAAAAACTGAACTTCGCCATTTATAGATTCCTATTGTTGGGTATGGACCTCCAGTGACTCTTCTGCTGTCATTCATCATTCTGCATGGGTGAAAGGATTGACTTGGCTAACCTAAATCCTCCTTTCCTCTTGAGTATCATGGCAAGACATGAATAGTTCCAGTCAAGGTACCTGTGGCTGTAATCTCTTTGGAGCAGGGGCCTTGTCTAATCTTTCAGTGATGGTTCTGCTGCTAGCACACTGTTGTCTCTGAGTAATAACATTGTAAGAATTCAGTAAGTTTCTTACTGACTTGTTCTTCTGCTTAACTTGTTTTGTAGTTCCCATGGATTTTTACTATATTAATTAGCATTTCCCCAATTGCTGCTGCAATCTAATATCATATCCTTTTCTAGTCTCATGTCTAAAGAGAATAATTAGTGTCAGTCATCCTTGCAAAATTCCTTTTAGCTGTTTAGTAGTGTTATGTTTACACTCATGTCATAAATTATGGTGGAATAGATAACTACTACAGGCAGTCCCCGACTTACGCGGATCCGACTTATGTCGGATCCGCACTTACGAACGGGGTTTTTCTCGCCCCGGAGCTCACGGGCA